GTCTACAAACAAGCCTTCAGTCTAGATTATAGATTCCATCCAACCAGGCTCTCAAAATCCTTCCTGGCCTGGAGAGCTCTGCCTCACCCGAGTGAGCTGTGATGTCACACACAGAAGTACATCGGTACTAGACTATGAGCTGCCGTCCAGTAAAGGCTGGGGTTTATTCCTTTCTTATCCTGAAAAATCAAACAGGATGTCTTAAAATATCTATAGCTTAAGTGAACCTGTTTGACTTTGTCCTGGACACCATGAATGACACACCTCACACAGCCAGTAGTTTCAGCTGTCAGGAAGCAACTGCTAAATAAAACATCAGTGCAGTGTCTGCTGTCTCTCACTTGACAGTCAAATCCCTAATCTGGCCACAAAAGCTGTAGACTAATAAATCTGTGCTACAAAGCTCAGGGCTAGGTCATAAAAGCAGAAATAAGAAAGAGTATTCAGTTATGCAGATAATTTTCTCTTATAGAGGAAGGAGCTGGGGCAGAACTGGAACAACTGCAGAGAGAGGAGAGGGTAAGGCAAGTGCAGCGGTGGCAGCCTCAATTAAGATGAGACACAGAATATGGCTGTGCACATAATGAATGAAAATAAACTGACTCTGAAACCGTACATTTAAACGGAAGTACTTTTCCAGTCTGATTATCTCCCCTCTATGGAAAAAACCCAAATTGTTAGCACTTAAACCCAAGAAGCTCACCTCCACAACTCCCAAAAGCACACATAAAGCAAAATACAGCCTATATCATTAAAATAGTAAATAAATAGAAACTGACTGTTCACTCCATTTCTGGATAAATGGAATTATGAACCTTAAAGAACACTTTCCTCCATATTAATCAATTTTTAAAGTGGTACTAATCTAAATGCTAACTATTTGATACTGAAATCTAGACCCATTTATCTAATAAAACAAAAAATTAATTAAGAGAAGCATTTGTTTTTTAGCGAGGGTATTATCAACTTCATGGAAATATTTTTATAGTACAAAGTTATTAATGGTATATAACTTGGTAAACTTTGATCTATACATCTTACCAAGTTCCATTAACTGTCATCGTGTGTGAAAACAGAAGATCCATTGGTATTTCCACCAACACCTTTGTAGTTCTTTACCTAAGCAACAGAATACTTCCCCCCGCCCAAGAATAAAAAAAAAACACAGGTTTTTTTCCAGAAAAACGAATTTTTCTATCAGGTTTAGTTCTTGTTAGTGGATTTTAGCACTGTATAAACTGGTGTAATTATTTTAAAAATAATAAGTCCCATTTCCTATGCCCAAGTTATCACAACAGACACATATCACCATTTGTGGGCAATTACAGAATGCGGATCTCGGATGAAGCTGGACAAAGGTTATGCACTGTATCGATGAATGGTGCTTCAAGAGGCAACGTACCGCAGGACTGGTACTGTAATTATTTCCATCCTTGAAATGAGAGACATCTTAAAAACACAAGCTTCCAGGGGAACTAATTCTTGCATCTGTCATCACATGTTATTGCCAAGCAATATGCAGCCAACTGTAACTAATCACATATAAATGGCATCTGTTAAGCAATCATGCAATATTTTATCCTATGCCCACGTTGTAAAGCATGATAGATTAATACTATTTTAAGAGGAATAAAAGGCTACCGAAAATATATATGGAAAATTCTCATTTACTCTCAATAAAACTTGGAAAATGTCTTAAATAATTTATTTCCAATCTGTGCATTTACATTCCCTCATATTAATAATAAAAGAATCAGTTTTAGTTTCAGTTATTTAGTTCCAACAATATTTCAGTTACAGGCAGCAGTGAAATAATCCTTTGTTCCAACAACTTTCTCTTTGTGAATTAAAGTCAGACTCGCACTTGGTCTTTTTACTCACAGAAGTTTCATGAAACCTTGGTGTTGATTTCAGTGCATCATCTAAGTTACACGTTAAAAGCCCATTTTCATTAATTACCAAATGTTAAGAACACCACAAATCAGCACAAGAGAAGCAACTTTACAGAGGAATTTAAAGGATATGGTGACTTTACAGAATCCATTGGCTAAATTTACTAAAAACCAAGTAACACTGACGAAGACCACAGTAAAAAAAACATTTACAGTCTCATTATTTTTAGGATTTCCTTTAGCATTTTCAGCATTCACTGTAAGAAACATGAAGAACTTCCCCCATCAGGAAAACAGATAACAACGGACACTTGTCTATTCAAAGGCACTCAGCTTGCTTTTTGTATTTTAAGTTTGGCAGACACCAAGTTGATATTGCTTTCATCATTTGCTGGCCTAACAATCTCTTCAAAAGTTCATGCAACACAGTAAATTATACTTGGTGGTCAAGCACAAAAATATCATGTACTTATCTGGGATATTTATTTTGTGAGTAAAATAATCATGATCTTGCAAAACTCTGATTTTACCAGACTAGGCCTTTGGCCAATTTTGATTTTTTTTTTTTCCCTTTAACACGCTGTGCCTTCAGCTTCTTTCTCTGCCTGGAATTCATCCATATTGGGTACTGTCCATGCTGGTCTAGGAGAGTTTTTTTGTTTCTTTTATTATCTATGTCCATTTTGCAGTCATCTGGAAAAGAGAAGTATTTATAGCGAGTAAAACACATGAATCTGCTTCATACAAGACATTTTATTACTAGAATCACAAAAATAATACAAAAGCGTGCACAACAGTATTTGTATGTAGAGATCTGAAGGCTTTATGCACTAAAAGCACTTTCCAAACCAATACAATTGCAACTCAGAACTTCAGCCACTGATAGTAAATATGCAGAATTTTCCACGAAGGCCCACATCTAGGTAAAGCACCTTATTCTTTAATCTGCCACCTGTTCCAATACTGTGTCTAAAACCATTGTGTGTGGTCTCCATCAGGTGCTGCAACCATACAGGAAGCCATATGCTTACTGAAACATACGCACAATTAAACACTTTTTACGATGTAACATTTAAGATATGTTCCAAAAAAATCAATTTATTTGAGTGGAAGATGAAGACAGGTAAGGAGAAGAATAAAGAGAAAAGCTGAAAAATGATGACAGTACAAAGCACAAGGCAGTGATGCTGTATTTGCTTCCAAAAGTCAGTACTACGTCAAGCCTAATATATTTAGAGATAAGAGTAGAGGATTAATCTCTATGACCAGGAAGACTGCCTGTGACATGGTCACTCCCAAGAAGTGTCCCCAGCTAGCTAACACCATGTGAACGTCATGTCTCAATGAGACAATAAGGCTACAAGGGGAACACTTTGCTAAGTACAGACCTGAAATGTGCTCTACTGTCCTGGTTTTGCTAGGATAGAGTTAATTTTCTCCTCAGTAGTTAGAATTGCTGTGTTTTGGTTTCAGTGTAGGATTTGTTATGAGAACATTGATAAAAGTACTAAAGTTACTAGCTGCTGCTGGAGCTCAAGGCCACCGTGTTTGGCTGGTTCACAGCTGCATTAGGACTGGGAGGGAGAAGCGCAGTGAATAGCAAACCCCCAAACTGGTATTTGGATGTGCCAATGAAATATTCCATATCATATCCCATTATGTTTAGTATATTATCCAGGGCTGACCGGAATGAGTATGGGTTTTCACTCGGGTTCTGGCTCTTCCGGGATTGCAGTTTCGGTTCGGGATTGTTGCTCCTCCAGGATCATTATCTGGGAATGGTCAGTGGGTGATGACTTAGTCAGTGGGTGATGAGCAGTTGCACTGGGTGTCACTCATTTGTATATTTTATTACTGTTATCATTATCACTACTATTTTAATATTAGGGGGGTTTAAAAAGTTTTCTTTTATTTCTATTATTAAATTGTTCTTATCTCAACCTATGAGTCTCTTTATCCTTGCTCCCCAATCCTCTCCACTATCCCCTGGGGGTGGGGGGGAAGTGGGTGAACAGTTGTGTTGGCTGCTGGCCAAGGGTGAGCCCAGTGAAACTATCACATCTATTTAATTTCAACCTCGTTTACAAACCATCCATGTGCAACTCTAAAAGCTTTATTGTGAGCTTTTACAGAGGAAAAAAGACTTTTTCTGTTGTACCTGTCTGATGCTGGGAGACAAAGTTCACAAGGAAAAGGCCAGCATGCTGCTTCCATAGTTGAAGCATGCTGATAGCCTACAAGGATCTGCACCAGATGTGTGCTTAGGGAGCCCTGAAGCTGCCATGTGAATACTTGTAGCCAGCAGAGAATGAGCACAGGGGCCTACTGCCTGCTGACCCGATCTGATCCAAGGCTGATCATGGCATGGGACAGGCAGCCAAAAAAGTCCCGGTTCCAGAAGCCTCCTGAGACATCAGAGATATACAACATGAGGCCACCTTAACACTGTCGCCCTCCAAACGTCACAGAAAGAGAGATGGCCTCCAGTAACACAACACAATTCAAAAAACCCAATACCCCAAGAAAGCCAACCCTACATACATAAGCTGCTTCTCCGGTTCCTGTACTATCATGATTGAGGTTAATCTCTTACACAAATTGACTACAAGAAAGCACATCCACAATAAATGCCAGCCGCAACATTAACTACATAAAGAAATACTCCTGGACAAAGAATACCAGTTGTTCACATAGCACAGCGTTTTCATCATACTTTGCAATCTCCCGGATGCTGTAGGGATCAGCAACAGGTCTACTGAACAGAAGTGGTCCAAGGACATTAAAAAAAAACCTATCAAAGGGGTTAGAGACAAAGAGAAAAGGATGAAGAAAAAAAAGCTGTAAAAGTAGGTTATCAAAGCAGACTCAATGGTATGATTATCTTGAAAAATATATGCATGCCCACAAAGTTTTAAAAACAGCTATACTCTGGATGAAGCTTTCATCTATTTCCATCCTTATAACATTTACCCATGTGAACTTCCTTGAAAGTCCTCTCAAAGAAGATACCATTATCTTCACGAATCTTGTAGTTGTTTTGTGAAACACATATATTCTTAGGTAATTCTGAGGTTGCTATCTCTCTACAAAGTTCCAGTGAAACTGGAATCTTCTAGACAAGTTGCCAGCAGAGTTGGAAGTGGGTGCAGGAATGACAGATAGACAGGCATTTGCTTCAGAAACTAGATTTAGGAATACGATGTTTCCTCCAGCTTCAGCATCAGTATCAGAAGGCTGACTATGTTCCAAAGCATTTTGTAAATCTAATTCTAACAGTCCCATAAAGAACAACTTTTACATCTGGTTTATAGGACAAATCAGAACCATGGATAAAATTATGAACTATACTCCAAGCTACCCTTAATTGGGCAAGTATTTTTATATAGCATTCTATTTCCATTTTCAATACAGTTTACAGGTTCTGCTGTTCAACTTCACAACATTCTCCTGCCTTTCCAGATTTCTGAAACACTGACAAAACTGGCTGCATGACTGACAGTGATTACTAGCATTATTCTATGTCCCCACTGCTGTGTCTCAAGAGACTTCTGCATGCCACATAAAAAGCTTACGTCAGCAATAGCATAACAGCTTAAGTGGCACAAACTGGAGAAGCAAAAGGGACTATGATTTAGTTTGGACGGCAGTTCTGGAAAAAGAAGGTGCCTTTCTGACTCCTGTCCAGTATGCAGCTATTTAAAACGTCTGCTTCCACTTCCTGGGTTGCTTCGTTTACAGATTACATTCTATTAAGGGAACAGAGAGAAAGATGTCACTATCTGTAGACACCTGATGCTACTCATTCCCATATCATGTGCAAGGCACTTTAGCATAAAAAAAACAGGGTCACTACTACTCCTACCTTGAGATGGTACATTTAAAAAGGAAAAAACAAAAAAATCACTCTATTCCTGATAAAATATCTAAAAAATTACTTTATATTTAGGTCCAACTTTTATCTGTTTAGTGTCCTCCTTCAACTAGGAGGGAAATTACATCCTATCTCCAGTTTAACAGCAAATATAATGCTGTGATTGGAACAACTGCTAAGTGGTGAATCCTCACTCACCTGGTGTCTTCACAAAGAGATGTCTCTCCATAAAATACTACATACCTTAAATCAACCATTAATAAGCTTGTTCCACAAGTCATCAGATGCAATATAGAAGCTAATATTGTGAAATGACAAGATTCAATGATTTCATAGCATCTTGTGGCTTTAAAAGATAAAGATTTGGTTTTCCATCTTACTATTCTCAACCTGTAATAATCGTAAGTCTGATCACGACAGTGCAAGTCACAGAAACAATAATGAATACACCGCAGGACGTCCCTGCGCTTGGGTGGCTGCAGCAGCAGAACCGGCACAGGGAAGAACACACCAGGAAGGGAAGGGGCAGGGAGCGGGGCGACAGCCGGGCCCCCAAAAGGCAGCTCTCGGGCAACCCAGGGCCGGCGCGGGCACCTCCCTCCGGCCTGCTAGTGCCGCCCAGCAAGAGCCCAACTCACCCCCCTGCTCGAGGACTTTCTCGGCGGGCAGCACGGTCGCCACCTCCTTGACCTCCTCCATGACGACATCTGCGTTGGCTCCCAGGCCTTTTTTCAGCCTCTCCAGCTCCCTGGGAGCATTCTTCTTCCTCTTCTCCGCCCGCATCTTCCTCTTCCACTTGCTCCGCAGGCTCTTCGCCATGTCCTGCGGGGAGGGAGGAGGCAAACAGTGAGGGCAG